CCCCCCCCCCTGAAAAAAAAAAGAAATTATTTTAATGTTTTGTTATTGTATGCTTTATTGTTACTCCATAGATTTAAAACAACTGAGAGAACATACATGAGGAAAAGCACTCTTGATACCTTATTCAATAGTTAAGTTTGAAATTTATGTATCCAAATGGACCAGCAATTAAAGTGTGAGCTACATCTCGAAGTTACTTGATTAAAAAAATTTGACCGAAAACATATAAGACTGCTTAATGGGAAATTTGACTATTTTCTTAAGTTTAATTAGTTTTAATATAATAACAGTTTTATGGCCCTTGCAACTGCATAAGGTCGTATGAGTGTGCGAAACACAAGTTGGCTGCATTCACAACAGTTCACAGCGCGGCTTTGTTTAGGTCAATGATTCAATTAAAATGTAAAAAAATTTGTTGTAAAATATCTAAAAATGACAGTTTACTTTCGATTAAAACAACAGTAATTACAATTTATTGTAAAGGCCAATAGCCTTTATAAAATAGAGAATTTTGTTCGGATCAATGATGGTGAACAGATCTTGCAATTTTCTGCATTTAAAATACTTTCTTCGGGTCTCTCTAAAATCTGGACATTCTGTTAAGATGTGTCTAATGGTGAAATCTGTGTCGCATAACCCTTTTCTTGATAAAATGGCTTGTCTTTGTAAGATAGATTATTTAGTTTTGACACACAGAAAGTTTTTGTCTCCAGCCAGAGTGACTGTCTGTTGTATTGAAGCATATCTTTCACATTTTAATGTGGTTTATATTTGACCTTCCCTTTTGTGGTTGTTGTCTTTAAAAGTCTCCCTAGCTTTTGTCAGAACTGATGAGTTTTATGTCATTCTTCTTTCAGAATTTGAAAATGAATTAAAAAAGCGTGAGCACGAATTTCGAGTACAAAGTGATGAACTGCATGCAAAAGTTTTGGAGCATGACCTGAAGGTAGGAATGTTTTTAAAATTTTTAAAATCAGATGTTTTCCTGAGTATTTGATGGGTACGATTAACCTTCTCTTTCATGGGTTATTATACCTCAACCTCTAAGCCAGAGATATCATGTGGTATAATCTGTTACAGTGATACTGAAGGCATATTTTCTCTGATAGTGACTGTTGTTCTATACTTCCTCTTAGAGTCTTTGAGATAGGTTTTATTTTGTAATTCTGACAAGGAGACATACAGTTGTCACTCAAATAAAAGTTGTCATCATTTTCGATAAAAACTTCTCGTATGATAAAAAGGCATGTTATATTTAAAGAATATGGCATTCATAAAAATTCTACAAGCTGGTCCCTTGTGTTGATTTTGGCCAATATTTCCATTTGTCGATTGTGAGAAGTGACTAATTTTGTCAGCGCGCCTCACACATGCATATCAGCAGGATGAGCAGCTCCAATAGTGGTGGAGAAACTGTTATGGAAATCTTTGCTTAAATTTACTCTCTGATATCAACTCTGCTATGTGGAATATCCTCCTGTCTGCTTTCCTTTTTACCCCTAACACAGCAGGGCCAAAATCTCCAGTAAAATCTATCTCAATCAAGTCCTTGAGTTCTTAATAGCTTCATAAGAGTTTTACGGCTCTTGCAACTTCATAAGGTCATATAAGTACGCGTGCTTGAGTTCCCTCCCCCCAAAAAAAAGAAAACAAAAGAACCCCCCTAAACCCTCATTAAATAAATAATAGAAATAAAGAAAACGGAAGCTAAAAACAACAATAACTCCATCCATTATATCCCTCCCTCAAACCCCCCCCCCCCCCCCCTCAGAAAAATGCCCACAAGTTGAGACACTTTGTGCTTTGAACTGTTTTATTTTTAAGATTCTTCCAACATGTTTAAATTTCAACTTGAATCTCTCTCTCAGGCAAAACTTTTGGCCAAAGAGCTGGAGCTGGCAAGAGACTCCCATGACAAGACGACCTGCCAGGCTCAAGAAGCTGAGTCTTCGCAGAGGGAGCTGGAGAAACTTGTAAAACAGAAGGAATGGGAACTGGCTGATGTCTCAGCAGTTAAAGATTCAAAGTGAGATGAGAATGTTATCTGTCGTGATTTGATCTTGTTTATTGGGTCATTTCATTTTGGAAAGAATTCTGTGTGAGGCATAATAGTGAAATAAGGCGCTCGTTAAAAAAACTGTCATTTTTCCACTGGTTTGGCAATTTGTATAGAATTTTTGTTTTTTTGGCTCAACTCCTATGTCAACTTAAAAACAAAGTTCTGTGTGAATGTTACTGAAAAACGTTGACTAAAGGCACAAGAAATGTAAATTTTCAGTTTCAAAGGACTCTCAAACTATGGAAGTCATCAAACTTTGGCGCCCATTTTCTGCTAATTATAGCTCTGAAAACAAATGACCCTCACCTCCTCCAATAGCAAATATCTCTACTTTTTTTCACGATAGATGGGTATTTTTTTCATCAAAGGATAGGCAAAGGAACAAGTGTTAAGATGATGTTAATAACTTCACATGCTAAAAAATTGACAAGAGCCTGATTCCACCACATCGTGACACGTATTATGTTGATGGGAAAAAAAGATGGTAATCTGACTATTCTGTTATTGGTGTGATTCATTAGTAAATGTCACCTGGATCAGGATTCTTTAATCATTGAGTACCAAATTTTCTTCAAGATTTATAAATATACATGCCACTACTGAATTGTTACTGGCATGTGTATTGTAATAGTTAAGTTTTTCGTCGTTGCACTCCGACGATATTTATTGTTTAATTCTCATGTTGGGTAGTTTGTTTTATTGAGTGTCCCCGTCTTTCTGCCCAAGGTGTTGTATCCTTCTCAGTGCTTGGTAAGCCCTAACAGCCAGGTTCCTAAATCATATTCTGTGTGTTGACCGAGGCCTGACTCATTTACAAACACATAATCAATCTGAACAGCTGAAGGTTGATGTCTAATAAGAAAAAATGATGTTTTTTGGTTTGTACAACATAAAAAGAGATGCAACATGGAACCTAGAGACTTTTGTTAGTGTTGAAATGTACTCTTTTTTTTTTTTTTGCATTTTGTATTTCAAAGATTGCAAAGCTGTTACTAAAAAAAAATTATTTCTGTGATTTTCAGTATATCAGAGCTGGAGCACAAGGTTTCATCATGTGAGGCAGCGATGAAAAAAATGCAAGAAGATTTCCAGAGAAAGTGAGTTCTGCATTTGTCTTCCAACTGTTGTTTTTCAGTTAAGGTAACGCATAACCCCACATATCTATGCACCTCAAGATGATCACACACAGCCTCTTGTTTCCTGTTCCCGTAAAACATGGCTGCAACTCCATGGACACTGAAGGTGTTGCTCACGAAGTCAAGCTAGTTCAGTGTGGGGAACCATACTTAACTTTCACCTGTTTTTTTCAATTGTCTCCGCTTAAAATATGATAATTTTTTTGTATGCAATGCTTCTCCTTCTCATTGCAACTGTCTTGAGTTTGAATACTGTAACAGAAGGTCAAGTATGCAGTGCATAATATAATTATATTACAGTATATACTTGCTACCTATAGTCTGCTCTCTCTATCAGTCATTCCTCTTTGATGCCGAAATTGAAAAAAATGTGTCACAGTTTTACAAATTCTTTTGCTTCTTTGGTTTTGTTTAGTGAGAGCATGCTTTGCCATTTAAGCACAGATGACGATACAGATGAACCCTTGACCTGTCTCTCTTTCTTTCCCACAAGCACTGAATCTGTATCTCTTTCTATCACTACTTAGATTTTTTTTTTCTGTTTATCTGTTTATAAATTATACATTTTAATGCAAATATCTCTTCTTGGTCTTTTTTTTAGTGTTTGTCTCTATAATGTATGTGTGACACCTTACTTTTGATTTTTTCTAAATAACCAATCACAATCATTATCATCACACTTAATCTTTTTATCGTGAACATTCAACATGAACTCTCTGGTGTAAACTCTCTCTAAGTCGCTCAGATATTATATTATTTAAACGTTTCATATCCCTTCTTTCTATCGTAGGTACACAGAGATAGATAAAATGGCCCGAGAAAGGGAAGAACTGATTGAAAGGGCGAAAAATGGCTATCTGGAACGGGAAAAAGCCTTGCAAGAGATAAATCAAGATCTTCAGTCGAAGCTGGAGGATTCTCAGATCAGAGAAAGACAACTTACATGGAATAACCAAGACTTGGCAAAGGAAAAAGAAATTCAAATTGAAAAGTGAGTTTTGCCATCAAAATTCACTCAGTTGATTTACTATTGTGTTAAGTGTATTCATCATCATTATCATCATCGTCATCATTATTGTTATTATTATCATCATTATCATCATCGTCATCATCATCATCATGGTCATTATTATTATTATTATTATTATTATTATTATTTTTATTATTATTATTATTATTTTTAGTAGTAGTAATAGTAGTAGTAGTAGTAGAGTAGTAGTAGTAGAAGTAGTAGTAGTAGTAGTAGTAGTAGTAGTAGTAGTAGTAGTAGTAGTAGTAGTAGTAGTAGTAATAGTAGCAGTAGTAGTAGTAGTAGTAGTAGTTGTTATATTGTTATCATTATTATCATTATTATTATTGCTGAGGTGCTGTGCTCTCTGCCTGTATCAGTTTTACTTTAATAAACAATTACATATTTTTCAGGTTGCAAGAAGAAATTTCAGAAGTGAAAGAGAAATGGGACCGCCATGTAGCTGAAATCTCCAGAGAAAATGTGAGCCGTGATCTGGAGCTTGGCACAGCATTGGAGGAGCAGAGACGTCTCAAGCTGGAGCTGGAGCAAAGGAAAGATGATATGGAAAGGTGAGTTATAAATTGTCAAACACCATAAAGGAAGGATAATATGGAAAGGTAAGTTATAAATTGTCAAACACCACAAAGGAAAGATGATGTGGAAAGGTGAGTTATAAATTGTCAAACACCACAAAGGAAAGATGATATGGAGAGGTAAGTTTTTGTTTCTGTAAGGTTTTACAGCGCTGGCAACTGCTTACGGTCTTATGAGCGCCATGGGGTGGATGTCAACGGAGAAGTCCAAACAGGGAATCAGGCTTACTCTGCTCACCTCTCTAGCCTCAACGGCACAAAGTCTGCTTTGACTAGAGATAAGTTATAAATAGTCAAAGACCACAAAGGAGCGATGATATGGAAAAGTAAGTTATATATGTGAGGAGTGCTGACAAAATGAGTTACTTCTTGGATTTGAGAGCGATGGAAAAGGAAAAGGTGTAGGAAGTTTTTAGAACTTATGAGTATGAAATAATAAAAGGCTTGTTTTACCTATAGAATGTGGCATCAATAGAACATCTACTAATTTGACCCAAGTGTGGATTTTTGGCCAATACATCCTTTTGTGGATTGCAAGAAGTTAGTAACTCGTTTTGTCAATTTAAAAAAAGTTTTGTTTTGTTAAGTGTTTTACGGTGCTCGCAACTGCATAAGGTCATATGAGCGCGCGGGACACACCATTCATTTTCAGTTTGTAGGAAATTTTGAATTTTTCCCAGGTTGCAGCAGAAGCCTACTCTTATCAATTTTGGACCACCAAGGGATCTTTTATGTTCGCAACTTGCACACAAGACCTCCGATATTTTTTGCCCTTGTCCGAGAAGGCTATCATTTTGTCAGCACGGCTCACGAATTATCTAAGACCCCCCCCCACCCAAAAAAAAGAGTAGTCTGTGCTTTTAACAAGTGGAATCAGTAGTCACTGTGGGTTTTTTTTGTATATGTTCTTTGTCAGATTACGGGTGTATGTGCATTTGATTGTTGTACATTGAATGGGCCAGTATGCATTCAATATATGGTAATTTAAAAATTGTTTGATTTTGAAGCACCTAGACCCTCCAGGGAGTAGGTGCTACAGGAGTGATTTTTATAGTTTATTATTATTATCTTTAATTAAGATTGAATAACAGTTACAATCTAAACAATGGCCGTGGGTGGTTGGCAGGTGCTCTGGTGTGGTTTACTTCTTCTTTCCTATCAAACATCTATCAAACTTATCTCCCCTTCTTCTTTTTTATGTTTGTTACTCTCTTGTAACACCTCTAATCTTCTGGCGCTCATATGGCCTTATGCAGTTGCGAGCTCCGTAGAACCTCTACTAAAACTAAAAAACGATGGCCTGAGACATTCTGAGGTGCGTTTTGGAGGAATTCTTGTATCGGCTTGACGCTGTCTGTGCTGCCAGTGGTGGCCACATTAAGCACTTGTAAAAGATGAAATAAGAACTTGAAGGTATGTACAACACATGTGCCTGACCTGGAGTTGTCTATCATTTTTCGTTTTTGAAATATCGTGTAATGGTTTCAGCGTATTCTTTGTGAATCACCCTGTACTGCCCTCTATAATCATAGAATTTCTGAGTGTGTAAATATGAATGAATAAAGCCTGTTCTTCTCAGGACTGATAAATTCTTTGGATTCTATTTCTTAAGATACAAGACTGAATTGAAAGCAGCTGCTGATCGGGAGGAGAAGCTGGACAAATCAAAGACACAAACAGAACTGGACTGGCAGCGTCGCTGTGAAGATTTGGAGAGAGCTCAGTATGATAAGTCAGAGGATCTAATAAAAAAGCTGACAGTCGCCAGAAATGAGGTTTGCAATGTCCTGTCGCTTTAATTATCTCTTTATTAGTTCATGATATTTATATTTTGATTTTTAAAAGATTATGTCAGTGTCATTATATTATTAGGTTTATAGTACACTAAGATTGAGATACCCGACAGGGCAGTGCCACTGACTGAAGTGTCTTTAGGCCATTCCCAAAGGGGGGACATTTCTCATTCTAATGCACAGTAGGATTGTAAATGGACTGATCCAACAATGTCATGCTCATAACTGTGCCTGAACTACTGCAGGGAACTGCTGCTTTTTCTTTTCTAATCCTTACTTTCGTCATTTTCCTCTACTTCTTTTGTATGTTTGTCACACTCTTGTGACCTGCTGTTTCCGGGGTGCCTTGATAGTCGAAGCAGACTTTGTGTTGTTGAAGTTAGAGAGGTGAGCAGAGTAAGCCCGATTCCCTGTAAGGACTTCTCTGTTGACATCCACCCCTTGGCACTCATATGACCTTATGCAGTTCCGAGCGCCGTAAAACCTCTACTAAAACTAAAACTAAACTAAGATTGAGAAGATTATTCAAATTTCTTAACTAGTGTCAAACATTTAAATTGAGAGATTGTATTCATTTCGTAACTCACCTAATTTGATTCTCAACCTGTCTGGATTTTAAAAAAGGGGCAGTTGTCATGCTATCGTGACCATCTATTTGTGTGTGCTTTCATGTTGTTTGCAAGAGGCATTCCGAGAGAAAAGTCGTATTGGAAAGGTTCAGTCTGATTATAATGCACTGGTTTATTGCTTTGTGCACTGAAAAATACTTCAACAGTCTGATTATAATGCACTGGTTTATTGCTTTGTGCACTGAAAAATACTTCAACGGCCAAATGTGGTATTTTTGTGTACTATTAATCATCATTTCTTTAATATTCATATGCAATAACACTTGAATGGTTTCAGTTCTACTAGTATCTTGTCGTCATAATTCTTTTATTTGCTCAGGCTTTGGCACTAGTGAAGGAAAGAGAAAGAGAACTTCAGCATAAGATTTTCTTAGTGAAATCTCTGCATTGTGAGAGGGACCAACTGAGACTAGTTCTGAAGAATCATGGCATTCCTCTGGACAATTTTGTAAAGGTACAGACTCAGTGTTATCTGGTTTTGTTTCAATTGGATTTTACTTACATTATCGCCAATGCTTTTGTTGTTGATGTTGTTATTCCTGTTGTTGTTACTGTTGTTTATAATGGTGATGTTGTTGTTGGTGTTGTTGTTGTTACTGTTATATGTTCACTCCTGTTCACCCTTCTTCTAAATCTTTTCAGTGGAATGAACACTTCTTCTTCAGTTGTGGTGTTGTTCCATTAAATGGAATTGGAAGGGATGAATAAGGATGAAAGGAAGATCTCTTTTTGGCTCTGCATTTAGAATAAAGAAAAAAGTGTTAGTGAGATGGCATTTGTTCAGTGTTTCATGGCGGGTAGTTAGAGGAGCCACGAGTAAGCCTTACTCTTTTTCTGTCTCTCTGTTTTTTTGTTTGTCGAATCTATTATCTATTTGTGGTGGCCGAATTTTGCTATTCCAAAGGCTTTTTAATGACTGCATCGATCGACATGCGGTTTTTGCCAAAAGATTCTTTAAAATATTCTCCAGATCCTGGCGCCCTTCGTTTTTCCAGTTTTGAGACAGTTTTGCTGCAAAAAGCTAAATTTCTTTATTTCGCCGATCGCTTTTGTAGGCCGACGCTTCTGTTTCTGTTATTTTAGAAAATTCGCTGGTTTGTTTATTTCAAGTAAGGTTTCCGTTCACTATCCGTGCGCACTGGTTGTACACCTTTGAAATTCTGAAGCGTACAATCGTCAAAGCGGAATAGAGAATCAATCTATACATCTATTATAATATATTTGGCAACTTAGAAACATGTGCGTCACTTTTATCTCAAGATTTATTGCTCCATTCCAGTAGACTGAAAAATATTAGGCCAATGACTTTCAGTTGATGTTATTGCACCAATCATTCCTTTCATCGAAAGGGGGCCCAGCTAGTTACCTTATATTTTCTGGGCACTAAATGGCTGTTATTGTCTTAATGTGCTCTTCTCTTTACTCAGACAAATAGGCAAATCAGTATTTCATAACCGGAGGTGCAGATTGGGCAAGAAGCTTACTCTTTAGATTTTTAATGCATTTTCTTTGTGTTGGGTGGTTGACAGGTGCTCTGGTGTGGTTCGCTTCTTCTTTCCTGTCAAACATCTATCATTCTTATCTTTCTTCCTTGCTTTTTTTGTGGTTTTTACTCTCTTAAAACACCCTTAATCTTCGGCACTCATTTCACTTAATTGTGTTGCAAGTGCCTTTAAACTCTTACTAACACTTTATGGAATAGGAAATATTGCTGGTGTACTGTGCATTCTAAGTGATGTTGATACATTATGATTATTTATGTTTTCCTTATGTTTGTATTGGCATCTGCTTTGAATATTTGTACTCTAGATTTACAGATGGTTGCTTAAGTGGAAAATTCCATTACATATATTTCAACAATGTAAGGTTGCATAAAAGACAGGACCTGTGATTCAACGTCCTTCTCTTATAGGTCTTTGCCTATCTGGTGCAGATCCAATTAAAATTCTTGAACAATCCAAACGCGAGAACATCTCTGTGTGGGTTCAAACTAGAGCAGTGAAGAGACATTAATAGCCAATCATTTCATAACAAGTTGATAGCATTACGGTTCTGAGAACAGCTGATTTTTTTCAGGGGAGGATCATGTTTTGTGGTGTAGTTGATATTATTCTCTGTATATGCTACTTATTGACTTGATTGTAAATTGGTTTCTCCAATCTCAGTATTCTGTGGACACAAATGAAGATGAAGAAGATCTGGCTTATGTAGAAGATTTGCAGAAGCAGAACACAAGTTTGAAAGAGCTGATTGGTCAGATGCGCACGGAGATGGAGACTCTGGGACAAGGTGGACTGAACAAGAACTCAAATGCTGTTATAGGTATGTAGAAAAAATGTGACATGTCATGAATTAAGTTTGCACAAATAAATATGTGAGGCATCGTGGTGAAATCAGGGGCTCATCAAAATAATGAAATCAAAGAAATCGGCAATTTTTTGGGCGATGGGCAATTTTTTTAGTAATTTTCTTTTTTTGACTCAACACTTTTTATTTCCATTCAAAAACACATTTTTGTGTGGATTTTCCTGAAAAACATTGAGTAAAGGCACAGAAAATGTAAATTTTCAGTTTCCAATGACTCTCAGGCTATGGAACTTACCAAACTTTGGCGGTCATTTTCTCGCTAATTTTTACCTCTAAAACCAGGCAACCCTCACCTCCTTCAATACCTAATATTCTGACTTCTATTCAACATAGATGGATATTTTTTTTCACCAAAATGAAGTCAAATGAACAGGCTTTAAGATGATACCAATAACCCCATATGCCCCAAAATTGACGAGCTCCTGATTCCACCACTTCATGACACATATGTACTAATTGTATCATAAAAAGGAAGGAATGTGTTCCCATTTGTTTGGTATGGTTGAAATTGTATTTACTTATGTAGTATGGTGTTACTGATTTCTGAAGTATGGCATTAATGGTTTTTCTAAAAATTTTGCAAAATGGTCTTGGTTAAAGATGATGGAAACTGATTTTGGCTTTGAAAAGCAAATCTTGACTTTCAGATCTCCAATGACCTCAATAGATGAGGTGTGCTGTAAAGTTCATGATCTTGATGAATGTTGTAATGGAGCAGACACATTATTTCTATGACTGTGCATTGGCAGTATCACAAAATGATCTCACTCTAATTGTATAAAGACTAACAATACAGAAAATGTCAAGTGTACAAACACTTGGCTACCTGAGAATTACAAAGTTCTATCTTCTCAGCACCTAGTTTTGAGAAATTTCATGTCAAAGAATTTGAGTTTCACATTATGTCAAGCTTTTTCAAATACAATTCTTTGAATATCTTGATAACGACTCTGAATAATCTTACGATTTTGATAAAGCAATTAGAACATTTGGTTTCTGATCTTAGTAACTCAAAAACAGCCAAAAATGTCATCGAGAACTTTGTAATTCTGAGGTAGCGACTTGTCAATTATACCTTTATATTTATACAATTTGTAATGACGTTATGAACATTTAAGGTCTATATCTCATACAATATGATCTGTGTTTCTCCTCCTCTTTAGAAATAATTTTCAAACTCTATTTTTGCTTCATATTCAGATGATGATTCCTGGGTGCAGGAAGAACTTCAGCATTTAAGAAAAGAAAATAAAGACATGAAGGAAAAACTGAAACGCTCAAAAGTGACGTTTTCTCAAGCAAAGCATTCTCTGGAAGATAGTGAAGAAATCTTGAGCCAAGTGCAAGGGAACGCTGGTGTGAAAAATCACATTCTAGCTTTAAATGAAACAGTTGGTGAGTAGTGAATGTTTGTTTGTTTGTGTCTGTTTTTATTTTTTTTGGAGATTGAAATGAAGGAAGGGAGGCTGAAACATACATTGAAAATGTAAAATGCTGAGAGAGAGGGAGAGAGAGAGAGAGAGAGAGAGAGAGAGAGAGAGAGAGAGAGAGAGAGAGATTATAGAACACACAGTTTTGAGCTGAAACTCTGAAAATGATTTCTGTCATTATTCGCAACCGAAACCTCACAAGTGACAAGTATCTGTGGTGTTGTGGTAAGACTCTACGCCATCTTACGAAATAAGCGAGAGTTAAATTCCTGAGTGGGGAAGTTTTTAAAATTGATTTTTGAGCATCTTTGCCTGTCTGCTTGGATGTTGTATCCTATTCAGACTGGTTGGCCTTGACAAGCTGGATCCAGTTAGCTGTCTCTTAAATGATTTCTTTTGTTGGCAAGCTGTTCAACTAATCTTCTACTTTTAACGTTCTTCATAATTTGTTTTGCATTTCCAGTCATAGATGAAACCGGTATTTTTGTCACATAGACATATCAAGGAACAAAGTGAATGACTGAATGACAAGAATGAAGAAACCTTTGCACTACTTTGATATGTGTATTTATTTTTAATTTTATACCCGTACTTTAAAAAAATCTCAACCAAGTGTTAATGTTCTGCTTTTTGTCATCTGGTTTGCTTTTGTTTTCTTCCCCCACTATATCAGAAGGTACTCCAACTCCAATATTTTATTTATGGACACTGCATGAGAAATTTGGTCACAACTTAAAAAGCTGTGTCTTGGTACTCCAGTTGTTGTTGCCATGACTTTAATTCGCTTTTGTGAAAGATTTTATTTTTGACACTTATAACCAGGCTCTAGGAGTTTTTTAAATTGTTGTTTTGCTTTTTTAAATACACATGTTATTAATTTGTTTTTAGCAGATATACATATAGAGAGAAGTTATTAGGTTTTATGTTTACAAATGCTGTGAGTTTGTTGATCCCTGTGCTATTATTATTATTATTAGACCGTGTGAAATAGTTTTGAGTCCGCCCGACTTTTGATTGTTATTATTTTTTATAATTTTGAGAATTAAGCTGAAGTTTTCATTTTGTTGGGACTCTCCTCCCCCCACCCCCACCCATTCTGGTTCTTGCTGTCCTGTGCATGAGTATGCTTCAGGATGCATTGCACAGTTCCATGTGGCATACTTTTGCTTGTTTTAGGTTTTCTTTTTTTGCCTCTGTTGACTGTAAAATATTGTGATATCTTCAAGACAGGTGGATGGTCATAACCCTGTCTCTCTTCCTTTACACCATTTTTACCTCCTGTGTTACGCTCCGCTGTGTGTGTAAATTTATAATATAATATATGTGTATAATATTGTGAAACAGAAGTTTGAAAACTGATTTTCAATTTCTTTTCGTCTGTCTTTTGATGAAGAAAATGTCTTTTGTCCCCTCGTGGAAAGATGTGTTAGTGAGTATATTCCTTCCTTCTGCTGGAATGTATCCTACACAACCGGGGTGAGCCCTGATGATAGTTAGGATCAAAGTAACAAGCCCATCTTATAAATTTTCTAAATTGTAGGGATGTGAGACATTACTTTATAACATGTTTTAGATGGTTTGTTGGATTAAAAAAATAAGTTTTGTTCCTCTAGTTCGTGGCCTACAGGTTAATGTGTTGGCCTCTCATTCAAAAGGTCCCGGGTTCGAATCCGGGTAGCGACCGAACAAATTTTCTTCTCTAAATTTGTCTCCTCTCACCTCATTTCCTGCTCTCTAGCAATGTTCTATCGTCTGCTTTCGTCTCCTCTTTCTGCCCCCATCCCCTCACCTCCTTTGCCCCTTCCTCTGGGCTCCTGATTCTTTCTGCAGCGTTTCTACTGCTACTCCTTCGCTTCTTCTTACTGCTGTCTTTCAGCCACACCCCTGATCTTCTGGTAGGAAAGATCTACACTTAGTCTTCTCGGACGAGGGCGGAAAATCTCAGAGGGCCCGTGGGCAATTTGCGCACGTTAAAGATCCCTTGGTGGTCTAAAATGGATAACAGTAGGCTTAGGCCGCCACCCGGGCAAAATTCAAAATTTCCTACCAACTGAAAATATTAGGTGTGTCCCGCGCGCTCGTATGACCTTATGCTGTTGTGAGCGCCGTAAAACACTTTACAAGAACAAACAAAACAAACTAATCTAAACTTAAAAAGTACCGCTAATATATTTACAGAAATGAAAAAAAACCTGTTTATTTTTTTTACCAAATGTATCCATAATATGTATCTTTTCATTCTTTTTTTTAACAGTAAGAATCTGAATTTCGACAAAATATTTCTGGAGCACATGCAATTTTTACCACAAATTACCACAGATTAAGAAACTGCAATAAAAATAAAGTTCAAAATTTTTTGACTTGGTACGTCTGAGCAGCTGGGAGATGCATTGTGTTGATGTGGGTGTACTTTTACTTTACTTTTCCCATCCAGCGGCCATCTGAGTTCTAGCCCTTTTTGTCCTGTCTATGTGATTGTAAAACAATTACGATCAATAAGTCCTTCAATCCCGCAGGTGTCCTGAGATCAGAGAAGGTGGAGCTCGCTGCGACAGTGAAAAAACAACAAGCAAGACTGGCACACTTAGAGACTTCCCTTGAAGATATATCTACCCAGGTAAGTCGTCTTTATAGAAAACAGAAAATGGATATAGAAATCAGTAAGAGAAAATGCGGATTGGACTCTTCTTAAGAATACTGATATGAACATTACCCATCTACAAAGGGAAAGAAAGTAGCGAAGGCTTTAAAATATTTGAAGGACAGACTTAGTTAGATTCGGATCTAAAATAGATGTGGTATAACAGCTGGACAGAGGTGGAGACTAGAGCCCAGTTTTAGAAGTAGATGGAGAGCTCTTGTTGGTGGCTTATACTCTGGCATGGGGTGAGAAAGAATGATGGAGTCTTGGTGTTGGGATCGAAAATGTTGATTTTGCAGTGTGACTACATTAACTATTTGTAAACCCAGTCTGGTTTCTTTTGAAGGTGCTATTTTTAAAAAAAACCCAAAACCCCCGAACACGAACCTGAAAGATTATTAAGTTAGTATAGATAGAAATCTTGTTGTAACTGTTCATTATCTTTTCAATGAAAGTTACGAATAGCATACTATAAACTGTATTTTGGTGGAAAACTTGAAAGAATAGACATATAATGTTAACGTTGAGAAAAGATGGAATGATAATTTGACTGCTTCTCTGCAGAGAGAATAATAAGTGAAATAATATGTTCATAGAAGTGTAAGTTATGTCTTTGGTAATTATAAGTGTTTCTCTCTCTCTCTCTCTCTCTCTCTCTCTCTCTCTCTCTCTCTCTCTCTCT